TTAAATTGCTTTGTATTCCACTTATTGAAATTACATTGAGCATTTTTTTATTCGTGTAATACTTTTTGTAGAATATAATGTCAGTTTAGTTTTGAATTGAATTTATATATATACATGTATATATGGTGGACTCTCCCGTCTTAAATCGACGTATGAGGGTCAAACATCTCCTACAAACCGACAGTCAGACACCAGCATATATGAATTGCTTATACTGGTAAAGGCTTTATGCAGAAGCAACCAGATTTTTTGAAGGGCCGCATACAGAGACCTGGCGCATTATCGGCCACAAGGTCTCCAAACAACCCTACTTTCAATTCAAAGTTGTACTTCTCCTAGACTAGTTACTATCCAGGGCTATAATAGAGGGTATTAGCACGTAAGTGAATATAATGGATTCAACTGGAATTTGTGTCTGGACATTACAAATGCTTATTACTGTAGTTTTACACATAATTTAATGTTTTATTTTAGTTCTTCAACAGTTTTTTTGCTCTTTTTTTCTAAAATGTTTAAGCATTTATTGGTATAGTTCAATTATATATCAAATTTTCAGGAGATTAATTTTTAAAGCATTGACATTTTCGTTTGAATTGTTTGCAGCAAGCAATCGATGAAATCTGTAGTTCTCGTTTTACATCTGATATATTCATACGATTCTTCATATGTATTTGTAATTGTTAACATATTTTATCTAACTTATTTTATATACATATGTAGATTCTTAACCGTTACACACGCAAACACACACAGACATATTATATATATATATATATATATATATATATATATATATATATATATATATATATATATATATATATATATATATATATATATATTTACACACGCATGTATATATATATAAGTGTGTGTGTGTGTGTGTGTGTGTGTGTGTGTGTGTGTGTGTATGTATGTATGTGTGTCTTATTTAAGAGCTATTTCATATATGCTAATACATTATTTGGAAACAGAATAAAAATCAAAGTGCATTTGAAAGGACACTAACTTAAAAGTATGTCTTTTAAAGAGAAACCTTTTGATAATTGCTGTTGCTATTTTTCATCTGAATTATATCGAAATATATTTTATCACAAATCTGACATTTTCTGAGGAAACAATTTAAGAGAAATCTGCGACACAATATACTGATGTTGATCGATTTTATTTATTCGTGTAAATGTTAGATTTCATATCAAAAATATATACAACCATAAAAGAATGAAGATATAGTATATATTTAAAGATCGTGCCGATATCATGCCTATTGGGAGGAACGTAAGAATATATTTGTAATGCATAGTTCTTGGAAATAATTAGCGTTTCCAGGAAGAGATTAATGGAAAAATTTACAATATCTCACTTTGTGACAGATAAAATTGGTAAACACAAAAAATATAGAAACAATATTTTTTTTTTAAGTTTGTTATGCAAACTATCTTGAATAATTAGCAAAAAAATATTGGTAAAAAAAAAAATTGGTAAATACAAAAAATATAGAAACAATATTTTTTAAGTTTGTTAGGTAAATCTTTAAAAATTAGCAAAAAAAAAAAATTCATTTAAAATAAAATAAAATGTAACGAAGAAATACCCACTGAAATCTCAAGGTGATTTGAATTTTTTAAAAATTTAGGAATCAAGAAATCTGAAATTCAATTAAAAATTAACTTAAATTATATTATTTTTTCTATATTTTACATTTCCCGCATTTTTATCTCCAGATATTGCTCTGTAGAATATACATCCACGCCATTTTGAAAAAACATATCTGATTGATTAGAAAGAAAAACAAGAGGGAGTATAAAAATTAAGCGAAAATCTCCCAGCGTGACATCTACAATTGTCAATGTTGGCAACTCGTAGCCTAATTTACAGGTGTCGAGATGCTAACTGATGAAAGAACTCACCGTGGCCTTGTGCCAGATTATGGTAAGCTAATAAATATCGAAAATATTCATTTACGCCACCCACCGTATTACGAATTTTAGCAAGTTCGTATCGTAAGTTTATTCCCTTGGATATAGACTTCGTCTTTAATTGCTTGATGTCTATGGTCTTATGCTAGGGTAAACCTTGTCGTTTGGGGGTCAATAATACGCCGACTGCATTCTCGTACAGATGGCTAAACCATCCAACAAAAAGTGGTCCCTTGTTTACTGTACGTGTTTCAATCTTTTAGGCTCTTGCTTAGCCTAATATATGACCATCTTTTACACTTTCGAGCAAGGCTAATCTACGTGTATCTTTCAGACTCTCGTGCGAGCGAAACATAGGATTATCTTTTAGGCCCTCAAGCAAGCCACCGAACAAAAAGTGACTACATGTTTTTAATCTGTTAGACTCTCAAGCTAGCCTAACCTATACCCAGCTTTTAAACACTCGAGCAAACCAATCCTATGTGTGTATTTTGGACACTCATGTGAACCTATGTGTATCATTTAAACACTCAATTACACAAAACCTATGTCTATCTTTTAGACAATAAAGTAGACAAAACCTATGTCAGCCTATCAGAATATCATGCAAACCAAACATATCTTTTAGACATTCGTGCAAACCAAACCTATGTGTGTCTTTTACTCTCTAGGGCAAACCGCCCTATATATAGTTGTTCATTATAAAAATAACAAAATTACGCATTAAATAATATATCAAAGGTTGATATACCGTAAAACATAACAATCCAAGCAAAATCTAACTAAAGTAAGATTAGTAAATTAATAATATTTATCGATGTTAATCATTTAATGACACTGTATTTTGGGTAAATTTCCTTTGAATGTCGATCAATGAAAATAATATACATCCACTTTTGACTCATATCCAAATAATCCTTCTTGTTTTTTCAGATTATGTTTCTAGATTCTCTTGCTATAATTAGCGATTATCATCCTCATTTGAAACAAAATATATTTTGGCTGACCTATCCGGAATAGGCTTTATCTGTACTGAGGAAGACGGTAAAGCTGAATATAAGCTCGTGCAGGTCATTTCTGGGATTTTACTTCTCCTTCTGAACGGAGCTACGGTACCTGACTCGTCCCTAAAAGGTGACGCGGCGAAGGAACTAGAATAATATTTGTTCCCAGTCCACGGACATGTATCTTCTCAACAACTTTAACCTCGACCTGGTCCCAGTTCTCACCCGAGTGGGCGTACATTTAAATACTTACTTTTGTTGAATTCAGATAGTATTTAATATTAAGCCAAACTATTTCATCGATCTTAGAGGTTTTTTGAAAACGAAGTTTTTTAGGACATAATTTATTCTGTTTAATAACGTTTTAATTTACTGAATGTTATAATATATTGATACAAACTTTATAATTAAACATTAAAAGATACAAGGTATGCTATTTATCGTATAATTTTTAAGAATCTAATTTAATCAGCCTTTGTGAAAAGTTCGATCCTGAGCAATGACTGGAAAAATGACGTTCAGCTTACAGAAGGTTTGTTTTAACAAATGAATATAGAATTTTTCAACATTTTAACTTCAGAAATACGATAATTTTCATCGTTGGCAACAACAGAATTATATTCAAATTGGTTTCAGCCATTCTGTTTGACTATTTCAAAATTATTATTTTAAAAAGTAAAAACAATATATATTTAACTACTGATTTTATTCAGATGTTTATAAATCATCTGAAAGGGATTGGATGTTTTTCCATACATAATACAACGCTTTGTTTCTCGATTTATTTACAAATGGCATTTAACTACTATTAACTACCTGCTGTTAATAAATGAAGAAAAAGACTCTTGATATTTTAGCTAAAAGGAGAAAGGTTTGGTATTATTTCAGCTCTAAAAAACGTATTTTGTGTTTTCATTAGATATTGGTTATTAACACTGAAGAGACAAGATTTTGATAAAAAAATGTGTTTTAGGAAACTGAAAAAATGTTTTTCCACACGTTGATTATATTGTTCTTTATTTGTCTTGTCCACGAATGCATGACCATCATTGTTTAAGTCAAATTAGTGAAACATTTTTTCTTACAAAAATGTACGTCCTTTACATATTTTGAGCTCTTTGAAAGCAATAATTTTATATTTTATTTTTAATGAAATATTCTGTGATTACGTATTGTGCATGATCGTCTCTTTTTTAAAAGAATATATATATATATAAATTATTTCTACTTATGCACCGTATCTTTGGAAATGATAAATGTTGGATTTCGTTAGTTTTTTTCTTAGTTTGTGTACCTTTTGAACGTTTTAAGTGACTTCTTTTTATTCTATCCTCCCAATTTTACGCCCTTCCTTCTGTTTATGTCTCCTCTCCTTCACTGTATGTTAGAATGGTCAGACCGGCTAAAATTGTTGGAGTGGGGTTCATGAAGGAGAGGAAGACATTTCCCCGCCACGACATTCTTCTAAGTGGAGAGCAAATTCAAAATTTTGTCTCATTCCACGTTTTATATAAATAATGGAGGGAACTTATTGATTAGACATGAAAAATATGGATGCATCGATTAACTGATTTTACGATTAATCAGTCGAATAAATAGATAAAATAAATAAAATTTTGTTTAAAAACGTAAATTGGTATTCGTTTTTTTGGTAAAAAAAAAGAAAGAAAAGAAAATTATCCTTCAGATTCTATAAACTAAAAGAAAAATCTTTAAAATGCTTCTTTTTCTCTCTCTCTCTTTCTTTCTCGTAGACATTTTTTTTAAAATCTTCAACCTTTTCTTTTATTGGACATTTAAATTATGAGAGCATTTTTAAAAATTCTTTAATTTTTTTTTTCATTGCCTGAACCTCCAAAATAATCGTGCGTTACTTTCGAGCAGAAAATCTGTGCTATTCTGTGAGTGTACAGATTTTCCTGACTATGATGGAATGGTTTTTTATTTATTTTTCATTTGTCTGGCACCACATCAACATTATTATCGTCACCGCTATATTACGGGTGACCATGAAAAACAAACGCTATCATCATCAACATTAACATCATTATCATAATCACCAACATCATCATCATTACTATGTATAGCTGACTACAGAAGTGGGGTGTATCGGCAAATGCCCGAGTTTGCTCACAGGGGAGTGTTCACTGCTTGGCGGCGTAGGCATTCCGGCCGTAGTTTGACAAACATACCACTCGCTCAAGTTCGTGTGGTGATTAGGGGGCAACGTGGGGTTGGGTGCAAGAGGCAACGACGGGGGGCTGCTCTGGGGTGGGACCTGTGGTTGTGTCGGGGTATGAGATTGCGCGGTGGGTGATGCTGAGTTCGAATCGCTACTAGGGCTGTTGCTAATGGAGTCGTCGTAGGAGCCGCCCGGCGGGGGCGAGCACTTGCCGTGCACCTTCATGTGTTTGCGTAAGGAACTCGGATGCGTGTAGCTCTTGTCGCAGCCCCTCACTTTGCAGTTGTACGGCTTGTCGCTTGTGTGTACGTGAGAGTGTTTCTTGCGATCGGAACTATTTGCAAACCTTCGGTCGCAGCCTTCATATTCACACTTGAATGGTTTCTCACCTGCAAAAGAAAGACAAATAAAGATACGAATAAATGACAAGGGAAAATGGCAACCACCTTTGCAACGAAATAAGAAAGAAATATGATAAATGTTTTGTAGAGAGAGAAAATTTCGCTTGGTGAGACGAGTAGAAAACCGGCGAGAGAAAGAGAGAATAGATACAAAGTAATAGTAAAAAGGGGGAGAGAGAGGGACATATAGAAACGAGAAAGAGAAATAAAGAAAAGAGGAGAGAGAATGACGTATAGAAACGAGAAAAAGAAATAAAGAAAAGAGGAGAGAGAATGACGTATAGAAACGAGCAAGAGAAATAAAGAAAAGAAGAGAAAGAATGACATATAGAAACGAGAAAGAGAAATAAAAAATAGGAGAAAGAAAACATACAAACGAGAAAGAGGTATAAAGAAATGAAAAGAGAGAATGACATATAGTAACGAGAAAAAGAAATAAAAAATAGAAAGAGAATGACATATAGAAACGAGAAAGAGAAATTTAAAAAAAGTGGAGAAAGACATACAAACGAGAAAGAGGAATAAAGAAATGAAAAGAGAGAGAGAATGACATATAGTAACGAGAAAGAAAGACAAAGAAAAGAGGAAAGAGAATGACATATAGAAACGAGAAAGGAAAACAAAAAAAAAGAGGAGAGAGAATGACATATAGAAAAGAGAAAGATTAGTAAAGAAAACCTCTCTCTCTCTCGTGACATATAGAAAAGAGAAAGAGTAATAAAGAAACAGGGAAAGAGAGTTACTTGCAGAAAGGTAGAAAGAAGACGAAAGAAATCAAGAGGGAGATATAGGTTGAAGACAAACGCAGGTAGAGGAAATTACAGAAAAAGTAACAGGTAAAATAAAAGAGAGAAAGATTATCAGGTAACAACGGTGGGGAGAGAAAGAGCTTGGAAAGAAAGAAATAAGGACAGGCAT